ACACTGAACTGTTTGCAGCCCCCTCACCCCCACCGCTACCCTAAATTCCTCCAGGTATGGCTCAAAGATTGTGGGTGCAATGGTCTTCAGTTCATGAGGTACTGACAAATCCTGGGATAGAAGGAAGCTGTTCTGTTGGGATTGGTTTCACTTGAGCCACGTACACTCCAATGTCCTGGTACGTTGAATGACTAGGGCTGGTGAGAGGGCCTTAAGCTAATTAGAGGAGAGGGAAGTTTGGGAGAGTGGGGTGTGTGGTAATGTAGGCTTACAAAGCAAAAGAATTGCAGGGTAGCAATATGGATAACAACACCCAGAGTGGGACAGAGTGTTCAAACAGAAATGCAGCAGTAAATAAGGTCTAAGAGAGAATAAATCATATAAAGCAAAACTAATGGCTGCTTAAACGCACATAATATGTGGTACAAACTAAATTCTTTGACGGCATAAATAGAAGAGATGATCTTATAGCTATTACGGAGACATGGTTACAAGGAGATCGAAGCTGAGAATGAACTATTCAGATGTGTGTGACTTTCCGACAGGAAAGTAAGCGTGATAGGGTAACTTTGTTAGTAACTTTGTTAGTGAGGAATGGAACAAGTACGATAGCAAAAAAATGATCTTGCGTCAGAAGAAATAGATTCCATGTAGATGGAAGTAAAATAAATAACAGGGAAAGTAGATAGGCTCCATAATAGTAGCTATATTGTAGGACAGAGAATAATTTGAGAAATAATGAGGGCCTGTAAAAAAGCAGTGCCTTAATCATGGCTGTCTTTAACCTTATTGAAATATATAAAATTCTTGGCGGGGGACCTGTCAGTTTAGATGCAGAGGAGTTGTCTCCCCTTGTGGGAGAGTCTAGGACCAGAGGTTGTAATCTCAGAATAAACATGTAGGAGTAACAGGGTGGTGGTGATGGGAGATTTTAATTTTCCCAACATTGACTGGGATTGACTTAGTGTTAGGGGTTTAAATGGAGCAGAATTTGTAAGGAGCATCCAGGAGGGTTTTATGGAGCAGTATGTAAATAGTCCAACTCGGAAAGGGGCCATACTGGACCTGGTGTTGGGGAATGAGCCTGGCCAGGTGGGTGAAGTTTCAGTGGGGGATTACTTTGGGAACAGTGATCACAATTCCGTAAGTTTTAGAATACTCATGGACAAAGACGAGAGTGGTCCTAAAGGAAGAGTGTTAAATTGGGGGAAGGCCAACTATAGCAAGATTTGAGAGGAGTGGGGAATGTGGATTGGGAGCAGCTGTTTGAGGGCAAATCCACACTTGATATGTGGGAGGCTTTTAAAGAGAGGTTGATTAGAGTCCAGGACAGACATGTCCCTGTGAAAATGAGGGATAGAAAGGGCAAGATTAGGGAACCATGGATGACAGGTGAAATTGTGAGACTAGCAAAGAGGAAAAAGGAAGCATACACAAGGTCTAGGTGACTGAAAACAGGCAAAGCTTTGGAAGAATATCGGGAAAGTAGAACCAATCTGAAACAAGGAATTAAGAGGGCTAAAAGGGGTCATGAAATATCTTTAGCAAACAGGGTTAAGGAAAATCCCAAAGCCTTTTATTCGTACATAAGGAGCAAGAGGGTAACTAGAGAAAGGGTTGGCCCACTCAAGGACAAAGGAGAGAAGTTATGTGAGGAGTCAGAGAAAATGAATGAGATTCTTAATGAGTACTTTGCATCGATATTCACCGAGGAGAGGGACATGACGGATGTTGAGGTTAGGGATAGATGTTTGATTACTCTAGGTCAAGTCGGCATAAGGAGGAAGGTGTGTTGGGTATTCTAAAAGGCATTAGGGTGGACAAGTCCCAGGTCTGGATGGGATCTATCCCAGGTTACTGAGGGAAGCGAGAGAGGAAATAGCTGGGGCCTTAACAGATATCTTTGCAGCATCCTTGAGCATGGGTGAGGTCCCGGAGGACAGGAGAATTGCTAATGTTGTCCCCTTGTTTAAGAAGGGTAGCAAGGATAATCCAGGTAAATATAGACCGGTGAGCCTGATGTCAGTGGTGGGGAAGCTGCTGGAGAAGATACTGAGGGATAGGATCTATTTACATTTGGAAGAAAATGGGCTTATTAGTGATAGGCAGCATGGTTATGTGCAGGGAAGGTCATGTCTTACCAACTTGATAGAATTCTTTGAGGAAGTGACAAAGTTGATAGATGAGGGAAGGGCTGTAGATGTCATATACATGGACTTCAGTAAGGCGTTTGATAAGGTTCCCCATGGTAGGCTGATGGAGAAAGTGAACTCGCATGGGGTCCAGGGTGTAATAGCTAGATGGATAGAGAACTAGCTGGGCAACAGGAGACAGAGAGTTGTAGTGGAAGGGAGTTTCTCTAAATGGAGAACAGTGAACAGTGGTGTTCCACAGGGATCTGTGTTGGGACCACTGTTGTTTGTGATACACATAAATGATCTGGAGGAAGGTATAGATGGTCTGATTAGCAAGTTTGCAGATGACACTAAGACTGGTGGAGTAGCAGATAGTGAAGGGGACTGTCGGAGAATGCAGCAGAATATAGATAGATTGGAGAGTTGGGCGGAGAAATGGCAGATGGAGTTCAATCAACGCAAATGCAAGGTGATGCATTTTGGAAGATCCAATTCAAGAGCGAACTATAAGTTAAATGGAAAAGCCCTGGGGAAAATTGATGCACGGAGAGATCTGGGTGTTCAGGTCCATTGTACCCTGAAGGTGGCAACGCAGGTCGATAGAGTGGTCAAGAAGGCATACGGCATGCTTTCATTCATCGGACGGGGTACTGAGTACAAGAGTTGGCAGGTCATGTTACAGTTGTATAGGACTTTGGTTCGACCACATTTGGAATACTGCATACATTTCTGGTCTCCACATTACCAAAAGGATATGGATGCTTTGGAGAGGGTGCAGAGGAGGTTCACCAGGATGTTGCCTGGTATGGAGGGCGCTAGCTATGAAGAGAGGTTGAGTAGATTAGGATTACTTACATTAGAAAGACGGATGTTGAGGGGGGACCTGATTGAGATCTACAAAATCATGAGATGTATAGACAGGATGGATAGCAAGAAGCTTTTTCCCAGAGTGGGGGACTGAATTACTAGGGGTCACGATTTCACGGTGAGAGGGGCAAAGTTTAAGGGAGATATGCGTGGAAAGTTCTTTACACAGAGGGTGGTCGGTGCTTGGAACGCATTGCCAGCGGAGGTGGTAGAGGCGGGCAGGATGGCGTCATTTAAGACGTATCTAGACAGGTACATGAATGGGCAGGGAGCAGAGGGATACAGATCCTTGGAAAATAGGTGACAGGTTTCAATCAAGGATCTGGATCGGCGCAGGCTTGGAGGGCCGAAGGGCCTGTTCCTGTGCTGTAATTTTCTTTGTTCTTTGTTCTAAAGGATTAAGGGAGTAAAGAGTAGAGAGTTGTGAATTTGTGGAATTCTTTGCTGCAGAGGACTGTCTAGCTGGTGTTATTAAGTTATATTCATGGCTGAGAGATTTTTAATCAGCAAGGGAATCAAAAGGAATTGGGAAAAGCCAGTAATTTCGATTTGAGGATTATCAGATCAACCTACTGCTCCTGTGTCTTATGGGCCGATTGACTGTGCGTGCTAGAGGTCAACTGGAGATTTTGGGACTGAGTAATAGTCTCAACTATCACAAAATTCTATCTGGGAATGCAGAACCAAGTTAGATAATTAGAGTTGAGGTTCAGATCAGAAATTGTCCAACTGATTGGTAGAACAGGCTAAATGGCTTCCATATACTCCTAGCCATATATGAATATCTAATGCACAATATCCATCTGAAATTGAGCACAATTCAATCCCATTCAAGACGATAAATTTGTTCCCCAATCTATATCTTGGTGTGTTTTATTTAACCTTTCATGGGATGTGGGTATCATTGACAAGGCCAACATTTGTTGCCTATCCTTCATTACGTTTTGAACAGAGTGGCTTGCTAAACCATTTCAGAGAGCCACTAAAGGTCAACCTCATTGCTATGGGTCTGGCGTCACTTGTAGACCAGATAAGTAAGGATGGCAGATTACCTCCTTTAAAGGACATTCGTGGACCAGATGTGTTTTAATGACAATTGATTCCACTGGCTGCTGTGGTGGTTTTGAACCCAGGCAGAAGCCTAGGCCTCTATATTTTCAGTCCAGTGATATTACCACTGCAGTACTGTATTCCCAGATGTGTTTGAAACATTGTGCCCTACATTCCTCCAATATTTCAGTGCTTCTTCTTTCTGGCCTCTTCAACTCTCCTAGTTTCATCATTGCATTGTTGCTGGTTGTGCCTTCAGCTCCCAAGTCCATAAGCTTCCTCCCTAACTTGCTCACTTTCCTGCTTTTAAGATGCTGCTTAAAACTTGTGTCCTTAGTTAATTTTTTAGTCACCTAACTTACCTCCTTGGGTGGCAGGACTGGTGTATGAAGAGAGACTGGTTCGGTTAGGAATATATTCACTCGAGTTTAGAAGAATGACGGGGATCTCATAGAAGCTAATACATTTCTGACAGGAATAGACAGAATAATCGCAGGAAGAGTGTTCCCAGAACCAGGGGTCACAGTTTAAAGATACGGAATAGGCCAATTAGGACTGAGATGAGGAGACATTTCTTCACCCAGACAGTAGAGAGCCTGGGAAATTCTCTGCCAGTGAAAGCAGTCGAGACCAAAACATTGAATGTTTTCAAGAAGGAGTTTGATATAGTTCTAAAGGGATTGAAAGGTATGGAGAGAAAGCAGGAACAGGGAACTGAGTTGGATGATCAAACATGATCGTATCAAATGGCTCGAAGGACAAAATGGTGGACTCTTCTTATTTTCTACGTTTCTATAAACAGGGTAATTTCAGACTTAAGCCTGAGATTGATTGTTTCCTTTCCTTACTCTAGTGAGCTCCGCATCTGGACATTTATTAAGGTGCCATTCTCTTCATCAGATTTTAAATGACATTTTATTTAAAGTAATGTATCTTTTCAGTTTCAGTATTGCGAGAAGCTGCTGGGGAGACCACAGTTCTCAATACCTTCGACATGAAGTATACCGGTCGTACCAGTCACCGTAGCAGTTGCACAGTGAGCAGTACCTGTTCTGACGACGGCAATACTATGAAGACATGCTGTCGGAAGGCAGGCAGCTTACAGCGTGACTCCAACTTTCCGCAACACTGCCCAGACACTGAGTCTCCAGAATCCAGCATCGATGCCAGAATCACATCTTCTGCCATGGGCAAATTGACTGTTGCAGTGCCCGCTGAACAAAAAACTCAGCCAAAACCAGTGGCCTGCTCTCATGGCAGTTCTGAGTCTAACCCCAACTTGTCGCTGGACAGTGGTTATTTGTCACCAGACAGTAGTTACCTCTCTCTGCTGAATCAGTCCCCTTTCTCTGTCGAGGAAGAAGGAAATCTTGTGCAGGATAGCGATCACCGAATTGGGGGCTCTTCTGAAGGCCGAGCATGTGAGGGAGAGCAGCCTTCAGGGAAGGAGGTGGAAGTTCTGGCAGCCATTTCACCAACGCACAGTCAGGCAGGTGATCCCGGACTTGAAGCCAAGCCACGCGAAAAGACTCTCACGCTGACCAAATGGCAACAGCTGCCAGCCCTTCAGGTCGGGTGGGCAGTCTGCCACAGTATGGGCCGCATAAAGGGCAAGCTGAGGATGGACAAGTCCCTGCTCAAGGAGACGTTACGGGGCCAAGTCTTCACGGTGGAAAACCTTATTGGGAGGAAGATGGGGCTAGAATACGTGGACATCTGGAAAGAACTTGTGGATCGAGGATTCCCCGACCTTCTGAAAAAAATCCTGAGGTTCCTGCCTCCCCCTAGCCTCCTGAAGTAAGTTCCTTCTTCTCGCTTATGCCCACCTAACTGCCTTGTTTATAGTGTAATGCATCTCAGTTGGGTCATGCGTGGAGCACTCCATATGATTCTAATCTCTCATAATATGTTAAAGTATATATAGGCCCTGGAGAAATTATGTGTAAGGATTTACAAGGATTATGCTATAATTGAGAGCTTCTACCCATGGACAAAGGCTCAATAGCCTGGGGGCTTACATTTTAAAAGGAGAATGTAGAGAGGTAATAAGATGTAAGAGCAGAATTTGGCCATTCAGCCTGCTCCACCATTCGATAATAGCTGATATGTTTCTCAATCCCATTCTCCTTCTCATAACCCTTCATGCCCTTACTAATCAAGAACCTGCCTATAACAAAACAGAAATTGGAGAAACTCGGCAGGTCCAGCAAAATTTGTGGAGAGAAAGCAGAGTTAAGATTTTGTGCCCAGCTTCTTCAGACTCTAATTATTTCTGACTTAAATATTCTCAATGACTCAGGCTCCACAGCTCTCGGTATTATTGGAGTTCCATGAATACACCACACTCTGGCTGAAGGAATTCCTCCTTGTCCCTTCACTCTGAGACAGTGCCCTCAGGTCCTAGTCTCTCTTCCGATTGGAAATATTTTCACCATGTCCACTCTATCAAGGTCTCTCTATATTCTGTAAGTTTCAATCAGATCCCTCATCATCCTTCTAAACTGTATTGAGTGCAGACCCAGAATCCTCAAATGCTTCTCTACAACAGAAGTTTAAGATTGTGAAAAGATATAGTAGACATGAGGTGATGCATCCACTTGCATGTGAGACCAGAACTAGGGACCAGAAATGTTAGACAATCCACAGTAAATCCAATAGCGAGTTGAGGAGAAACCTCTTTAGCTGGAAGGGTTTGCAATGTGTCTGATCTGGGCATAGTGGTTCTAAATATTCACTAAAGCCATGAAGTTATGTGGCTGTGAGTTATGGTGGTAACTTTGGTGGTGATGTATTTGCAACTGGTCAGCTGTTTCTTGCAGGATTATCTATGGCACATATTAAAGATTTGAGCCTAAATGTTGGAGGGGGGAGACATGAACAAACACAATAATTGTTCATTTGGTTGAAAGGAAGGAAGCTGGAATTCTGTAGGAAGATATCAATGGCCAGGTCAAGTGGGCAGAAAGGTGGCAAATGGAATTCAACCTGGAGAAGTGAAAGATGATGCATTTGAGGAAGTCAATCAAGGCAAAGTAGTATATAATAAATGAGGAAGTAATGGACGGTGCTGACAAAGCAAGGGACTGTGGAGTGAATGTTCACAGATTCCTGAAGGTACAGGTCAGCAAGGTGATTAGAAAGGCAAATGGAACCCTTTTGCTTTTAGACACTGTCGAGAATATAAGAGCAGGGAGGTTATGCTTGAACTGTGTAAATTATCAATTGGGCCACAACTTGAATATTGTACGTGGTTATTCGGAGTAAAAAGGATGGAAATGCACTATAGAGGGTACAGAAGACAAGGATGTTGTCAGAACTGGAAAAGTGCAGCTCATGAGGAAAGACTAATCCTATTGGATTTGTTGTCTTCTTGGAGCACAGTAAGCTGTGGGGAAATTGGATTGAGATGTACAAATTGTGAGGGGGCATGAATAGATTGGAAGGAAGGGACTTAGCAGGGAGCTCAGTCACTGGGAGGAGCATTAACATCAAGTGTTTGGTAGAAGTTTAGAAGGGAGACGAGGAAAGAGTTTTACCCCAGAGGGTGGTTGGGGTCTGGACCTCACTACTTGAATAGAGGCAGGACCACTTGAGTCATTGTAAAGGTGTCTGGAGATCTGCACCCGAAGTTCTGTCTCCTTCCTGCAGGGGCTGCAGGCCAAATGCTGGAAAGTGGGATTGGGCTGGGTGGCCCATTCTTTGACTGGCACAGTGATGAACTAAGTGGCCTCTTCAGTGCTGTAATTCCTCTATTATTCTGTGTCTCGGTGCAGACATGTCCCCTGAACTAAGATGTGTGGCATCGTGGAGGGAACTTCAGCCTGGAACAAAACTGTGCCAAGGAACTTGAGCAAGCAATCTGGCTTCATACTCCAGCTCAGTGATGGCAGACCCCACTCCTGCAGTTTTGGGAGGGGGTGCTGCTATTTCTCTGATTCTATCTGTGTTGACAAATTGCTGATATTCCCCTTGCCCCCATTTCCCGCACTACAGTCAGTCGCTTTGGAATGGTGTGAGAGGGGTGTCCAATCTTAACATATCCAAAGAACTCCCCACCATCCCCCCACACCCCCCAAAACAACACCCCACCATTGACCAGTTCAGTGACAGCTTGGCTCATCTGTTGTTGTGATACCAGTGTCTCCACTTGGTAGCTGGAACCACTCTTGGGTTTGAAGTTAGGTCTTTCTTATACCTTGTGTTGTAGAGGAGCTGAGGAAGAGACAGGCCTCCTTGAGATGCTGCTGGACTTGTTCGCTTGGAGCCACATTTCTATTCGTCACCAAGGCAGAGAGTGTTGGAAATACTAAGCAGGTCTGGCCACATCTGCGGAGAGGGAAACAGATTTAACGTTTCAAGTCTGGTATGACTTCTTGAGAACTCAGTTTCTGTTTGTCAAGATGTGGTAACTAAAACCATGCTTTGTCTTTTCTCAACAGCTGTTCCAAGGTGAGCAAGACCTGGAGGAGAATTATTTCAGACGATAAAAGAGCAAGCCAGCTCTTGAGGACTGCTTTGCATTTACAAAGAGTAGGTGATTGTTCCTTTCCTCCCTGTTTAGGTTGAGAGTTCTGGTAAATACTTGAATAGTGTAAAGGATTAGGGTGGCCTCTCCACAATTTGTGGCATTGATGAGTGTTGATACACAAGAACTGGGAGCTGGAGTAGACCATTCAGCCCCTCTACTTGTTCTGCCATTCAATAAAGATCATATCTGACCTTCCTTCAGCACTGTTTTATCACCCTATCCGGCACAGTTCCTCAGTGGTTAGCACTGCTGCCTCACAGCACCAGGGACCCGGGTTCGATTCCACCCTCAGGCAACTGTCTATGTGGAGTTTGCACATTCTCCCCATGTCTGCGTGGGTTTCCTCCGGGTGCTCTGGTTTCCTCCCACAGTCCAAGGATGTGCAGGCTAGGTGGATTGGCCATGCTAAATTGCCCATAGAGTTCAGGGATGTGTAGATTAGGTGGGTTATAGGGGAATGTGTCTGGGTGGGATCCTCTGAGGGTTGATGTGGACTTGTTGGGCCGAAGGGCCTGTTTCCACACTGTAGGAATTCTATGAGACTATATCCCCACATCTCTTGATTCCTCAAGGGAAGCAGCCTATCAATATCTACCACATCGGGCCCCCTAAAATATTAAGATGTGAAATATAGTGAGGTTTCTTATGAACTGATTCAAGCACGTGGCATATTTTTGCATGGAGCACTCTTCAACGCAAGCATTTGAAACCATGACTGTCACCAGCTTTTCACTGCACTACTCGGGGAGGGTTGGCTTAAATAGATGTGGGTAGGACATGGGAAAAGCTGCAAAGAGGTAACAACAGGTTAACTGAGTAGGCAACAAGATGGTACATTGTGGGTAGTCACTTCAGTCGTTTGAGTAGAAGCAGTATTTTTCAAAAGGGTCAGGATCCTGTAAATGATGATGTTCAATGAGGCTTGAATGTGTTCATAGAAGGAGCATAGACAGTTAGCAAGCAGGCATGGTAAGCAAGTAGGAAGGCAAATAGGAATTTGCCCTTTATTGCAAGGAAACTGGTATATAAGAGTAACAAAGTCTTGTGACGATTGCATGGTGTTTTGGTGGGATCACATCTAGAATAACATTTTCTTCATATTTAAGGAGGAATTGGATTACAGCCACAGTTGGCTAAATTATTCCCTGAATATAGGGGGTTCTGTTACAATGAAATGCTGAGCAAATTACACCTAATTTCTCTGGAGTTTCCAAGTATGAGAGTTTCTCATTGAAACATTTGAGATTCTGAAGGGGTTTGATGCCTGGAATTTGTCAGATGTATGGTGCTATCCCTAGTAAAGAGGTGTTGTGGGGGAGGTGTTGGTTTTCATGCTGGGACTCTTGTTGCTTGGTCCTTGCAATAGGGCTTTTTAAAACGGTGACTTCAGTTCATTAGGACTTAAGAAATGGCGCTCATCGGAGAGATGTTGTGAAGTGGAGGTTTGTTGGTGGCAGTAGAATTTTGGACATTCTGCTCTGGTGGACATTATTACTCTGTGAACCTGAAATAGTGTTGCTGGGTTAAAACCGTAAGTGTTGGTAAAACTCAGCAGGTCTGGCGATTATCTGTGGGGAGAAAGCAGAGTTAACATTTCAGGTCCGGTGACTCTTCATCAGAATGCCGGTGTTACTGGGTGTATACTTGGCTTGTATTTGCTGGTTTAGAAGATTGAGGAGTCATCTGATCGAGGTGTTTAAAGTATCAAGAGGATTTAAAAGGATAGATGGCGGAGGAGTACAGGATGGGGTGGGGGCAGAGCCTTAAAATTAATTTAGGGTCATTCAGTGGTGATGTCAGGAAACAATTCTTCAAACAATGAACAGGGGAAATCTGGAATTTTCTCCATGAAATGGCGGGAAAATCAATTGAAATTTCAAGCCGAGATTGGTAAGTTTTCGTTGGGCAACAGCGAATGGAGTTACGTAAAGTACTATCTAACAAAAAGGCTGAATGGCCTTCTCCAGTTCCTAATGTTCTCCAGTCCCACGGCTGTATTTCTAAACAGATCCAATATTTCTGCATCCTGTTGTGTTCTAAATTATTCCCTAAAATTTTTTAAAACCGGTGTTTATTTTCTTTCCGCATGTTATCAGTCGTCTGCTGCTGACTCTCTGGATGACACAACCATCCGCAGGAATGTGGTTTCTCGAGGAGTGCTGTCTTCCGTGCAGCGTGTGGGTGTAAATTCCCCTCAGAAATGCTCGACTCAGCCTTCCAGCCCGGTGAAGACAAACCGTCTTTCCCAAAGAAGCATTCGGCATCAACAGGTAGCTTACTTTTTTCTCCCACCGCAGTCAAACTCTTTCCAGACTTCACTCTTCACTCGCTTGGCTCCAATTGCGAGGCTACATCCCTTTGTCAGAATCTCTCCCACTCATTTTCTCTCTGTCTTTAGAACAGAGAATGTTGAGCAGGGTCCTGACTGAGGTATACAGAGTTGTGAGGGGAATAGAAAGGGAGAAACCATTCAACTTAGTAGAGGGGTCGGTCGACAGGGGCACAGTTTTAAGGTAAGGAGCAGGAGGTTTAGAGGAGACTTGAGGAAAGACATATTCACCGCACTGTGGGCGAAAACTCTGGACCTCACTGCCTACAGGGATGGTAGAACTGGATCAATGAAACTACATGTAAGAAATATTTAGATGACTACTTGAAACATCACAGCATACAAGGCTATGGACCAAGTGGTGAAATTGGAATTAGAACAGATCGATGCTTCATGACCAGTGTGGACACAATGGACCAAAAGGGACTTTTATTTGTCCTATAAAAACTGTGATTCTACCCTGTCAAATCTCTGTTATTTTTAAAACAGAATCAATTCAACCATGTGCCTTGACTAAACTCAAGGGAATGCAAGCCTAATGTACACCTTGTTGTTGTAATTTAACTCCTTAAGCTCCTGTCTTAATCTGGTATTCAGTACTGCATCTGTCTTTTTTCCTCAATGGGAACCTGGCTTCTGTGCTACTTTCTTCTTTATGCATGGAACAACCTCACATTACAGAGAGGAAGCAGGTTTTATTCTTGATGCCAAAGGACGGAGAGAACCTGTCCAAGGGGGTCCGGTCAGTGCGAGAGCAAGTTGAACAGTAATGCCTGGGACGGATGTGGTTTTTTTTTTGAGAAGTCAAACATCTCCCATCACTGCCAACCACCTCATTGAAATTCTGTCTGCGTCCCGTTTGTTTTTCAAACATTGTTGTGCCAATTTTCCACTGTGTTGGTATCCCCACTTTCAAATCACGACGTGTTCTCTCTCTTCCCCTGTCCCCACCCAGGTTGTGAAGACACTCAAGTGGGATGAGACCCTCAAGACTTGCCCCCTGTGTGCCTCACCGGCCAAATTTTCATCTTGTGAGGAGAGGGCAGTCTGCAGCAATGGAAACTGCTCCTATGATTACTGCTCACTGTGTTTTGACACCTTTCATGGGTCAAAAGATTGTGCTCGCCGCCAGTACAGAAGCCACTTCAAGTCACAGCCACAAGCAGGGAGCAAAAAGAGCAAACGGAACTTAAAACGATTGTGACAGAAGAGAGCGAGAGTGTCTGTATATGAGTATAAAGGCAAATATGTTGGATTTATTTTTGTCAATTAGTAGAAAATGAATTTCATAAAAATATGTATTTTAAGACAGTTTTATGGAAGATGTTGAACTGCAGTTTTATTTATAAATCCAGAAAATCTACTTAAAAGAAACTCTTTTTAAAAATTAATATATGAAATACCAAGAGATATCATAAATGCAGAATGAACATGTCACAGATATTTTAATAGTGTTACATTTCCAGTTAAATTGTAGTTTCAGCAATATACAATAAACTGTGTATGTATATATTTATGTGATTGACCCAGGACTTTGAAAATTCTGCCTGGCTCATTGCTCACTATGTAGTTTCTGTTGTCTGTTTGCCAACCTTTTTAGAGTCTTTCTCTTATTGTATATTATTTCCTAAAATTTATATTATTTTTTCTCCCCCATGTAATATATTCACTGTTCAATAAATGTGTAAAAAACACTGTGGTTATGTTGGAACATTTTGTTCAAAACTTTAAGCAGGTTATAATTTTTGCCGAGGAAGTGACCTAAACTGGAGGCTGGTTGGGTCATTGGATCATCTGCACTAGCCTGGGATTAGGAAAATGGTGTGAACTGGAACTCAGTGGGGCTACAAAGAGATGAGAAGACCAAGTTAGTCAGACAATTGCATGGTTCTGTGACCTTTGGATGAAACAAGCAACGGGAGATAATATAAACTAGAATACTTGAAATAAAATGTGTTATAACTACATGAGAAGGTGCAGAATTGCTGCCCTCTTTACCAAATTGTTTTTTTATTAATAGTGTGCTTGTCAATCCAGTGAATATTTAACTGGTTGAGCTGTGCCTGTAAAAATATACATGAAAAGGTTTTCTTTGTAAGATTTTCTGTATTTCCCACTTTTATTGTACTTTATACGCAATCTGGTCATAGCTAAACTATAGGCCTGGAATCAGCATGCTGTGACCATGTTTGAGTAACTGGTCTGAGGGGATAAGCCAACTAACACTCTTGTGTTTTAAGAAATTTTTTTTAAGCCATTGTACAGATGAAACATTGAAGAAGGTTACACGCATGTTATGTGTCTCCTGCAAGCTTGAGAACTGACTGTTTGACTATTCACACGTCACAGGCAGGACTTTAAGAGTCAACCTAACAGCTGACGTGTCCACAAGATAAATTATCGATTAACGTCTTTAAATTGTTTCAACAGAGTTCAGGAAGGCCACTCATCAATAAGTCGTAAGAAATAGGTACAGGAGTAGGCCATTCGGCCCCTCGAGCCTGCTCTGCCATTCAATAGGATCATGGCTAATCTGATATTCCTCACGTCCATTTTCTTGCCTTTTCTCCGTAACCCTTGATTTCCCCTAGTAATAGAGAGTCTGTCTATCTTAGTCTTAAACATATACAAGGACTCTGCCCTCATAGCTCTCTGTGGCAAGGAGTTATAAAGACACACAACCCTCGCAGAGAAGAACTTCCTCTTCATTTCAGTCTTAAATCGGTGCCCCTTTATTCTGAAATTATGTCCTTTGGTCCTAGACTCTCCACAAGGGTAAATATCTTCTTAGCATTTACCCCGTCAAGCCCGTTTAAAATCCTATATGTTTCAGTGAGATCACCTCTTATTGTTCTAAACTCCAGTGAGTAGAGACCCAACCTGTTTAGTCTTTGTTCATCAGACAATCTCTCCATACTAGGGATCATCCTGGTGAACCTTCTCTGAACTGCATCCAATGAAATGGTATATTTCCTTTGAATAAGGGAACCAAAACTGCTCACAGTAATCCAGATGTGGCCACACCAGCATCTTGCAGACTTGTAGTAAGACTTCCCTACTCTTATACTCCAACCCCCAAGAAACAAAAATATCTCTGTATTCCCTTATACCTTCTTCACAACGTGCTTTCCTGGCTATTTTTGTGTCATCAAATTTAGTAACCATACTTTCGGTCCCTTCATCCAAGTAATTTATATACATTGCAAAACATTGAGGGTGTAACACCAATCCTTGTGCCACTTATTGCATCTTACCAATCTATGCCTACTCTCTGCTTCTTGCTGGGCAGCCAATCTTCTATCCATGCCACAATTGACAAGATGAGCTTTTATTTTCCACAATAACCTTTGATGTGGAACCTTCTGAAATGTGCCTCAGTGTCTAAGTGCATCAGATCCATTGGTTCCCCTTTATCCACAGTACATTACTTCTTCAATGAGTTCTAGTAAAGTGGTTTCCCTTTCACAAAACCATGTTGACTCTACCTGATAACCTTCAATTTTCCTAAGTGCCCTGCTGTGAACAGGTTGGATGGTTTGGTGTTGTACCCTCCACTCCTGGCTGATGTGATTTGATTTGATTTGATGTATTATTATCACATGTACCAAGATAGAGTGAAAAGTATCATTTTGCGTGCTAACCAGACAAATCATACCTTACTTATGTACATCAGCTTATTGGAAGAATATAATGTTGCAGCTACAGGGAAGCAGAGAAAGATCAACTTTAATATATGAGAGGTCCGTTTATATGTCTGATAACAGCGGGGAAGAAGCTGTTCTTAAATCTGTTGGTACGTATTTTCAAACTTTTGTATCTTTTGCCCAATGGAAGAGGGTGGAAGAGAATATAACCCAGGTGGGAAGGGTCTGTGATTATGTTGACTGCTTTCCAGAGTCATTGGGAAGTATGGGCGGAGTCTATGGATGGAAGGCTGGTTTTCCAGATGGACTGGGCTGTGTTCACAAATCTGTAATTTCTTCTGGCCTTGGGCAGCACAGTTACCATACCAGGTTCTGATGCATCTGGATAGGATGCTTTCTATGGTGCATCTATAAAAATTGATAACAGCAATTGCTAAGTAATTAGTAAATTGTCTCGGGGGGGAAGTAGTATCACTAAGTCAACCAAGAAACTCAATGCAACTAGGACTTAGCCAAGAAAAACTAAGATTCATTCCTCAGTGTTGGTCTATTCTCATTCCCCCAAAACCATGACAAATTATTTTACACTGCATCAGTAAACAGGGAGGTGAACACAATAGTTCACATGCACAGGTACGTACTGCATATCTGTCAAAATCAATGATTAAAAAATGCAGGGCAAAGGTCATCCCAGCAGCAAGGAACCCAGCAAAGCTGAATAACGACCGCCAAATGTACCCATAAAATCTGAGTTGTGAGATGGTCTGGATCCAGCACCTGTCTTCATCAATCTCAGAGACTCCCTATACATGCCACACTTCCAAAGACCAGTTACACACTTTCAGAGGCAATTAAAGAGTAAACCATAAAAAAAAAGAACTGTGAATGCTGGAAATCAGAAATAATTGTTGGAGAAACTCAGCAGGTCTAGCAGCAACTGTAGAGAGAAAGCAGAGTTAATGTTTCTGGTCCAATGACCCTTCTTCAGTCCTGCTGAGTTTTTCCAGCAATTTCTGAAAGAGTGTTTTTTTTTAATACATTCATGGGATGTGGGCATCACTGGCTAGGTGAGCATTTTTGCCCATCCCAAATTACCCAGAGGGCAGTTAAGAGTCAATGTGGAGTCACATGTAGGCCGGAACAGGTAAGACTTGCATTAGTGAACCAGATTAATTTTGCTGACAATTGATTCATGGCCATCAGATTTTAAATATGAAATTCAAACTCCACCATCGTCAGTGGCAGGATTTGAAACCAGGTCCCCAGAATATTAACTGGATTAACAGTGGAGGAATAATACCACGAGGCCACCATTACCTCCCCTAACATATTGGTGTTGAACTGGAGTCACTTGTCGGCCCTGACATCATAACAGTTTTCCTCCCAGCACAGATATTCAGTCTTTATGGAAATCTGGCACCTCAAGATTTCTTTTACTGATAATGATGTTTTAGTTTAGAACTTTATTCAAATTACCTAATTTCTAATCAGGTTGGGGTTTGCTTTCTTTGATTATAGAATCATCAAAATTTTACAGAATGGAAAGAGGCCATTTGACCCACCATGTCTGTACCAGCTCCTGAAAGAGCTACCCAGCTAGTCTCACTCTCCAGCCCTGTTTCCATGGCTGTCTAACTTCATCCCTTTCAAACATATATCCAGCTCTTTTGAAACCTTCTATGGAATCTGCCTCCACCACTCTCCCAGGCAGCGCATTCCCCAAATCCTAATATTCTCTGAGTAAAGAAGTTTCTCCTCACCTCACTCCTAGCTCTCTTGCTGATAGTCTTGAATTTGTGACACCTAGTTACTGACATAGTTGAAACAGAATTTCCTTTTTTCACTCTGTCAGGCTTGTTCATAATTTTGAGCACCTCAAAAATGTTGCCTCTAAGTCGTCTCTCTTCCAAGGAGAATAAGACCAATCTCGCTAATTTTTCCTTGTATCTAAAAATCCCTCATTCCTGGTATCATTCTAGTAAATCTCCTTTGCACTCTCCCCACAGCTGTAGTGTCCTTCCTTAAATAAGGTGCCGAAACTAAACACAATACTTCAAATGTGGACTGACCAATGATTTGTAGAGGTGCAGTATCACTTCCTTGCTTTTATACTTTATGCCTCTATTTATAAACTCAAGGATCTTATAAGCCTGTTTCAACTTGCTCTTGATTGTTAATCAGTTTCCCAAAGCAAAACACGGCAAAGCCAAATAAAAACTGAAAGAACTGTGGATGCTGTAAATTAGGAACAAAATCAGAGTTGCTGGAAATCTGGCACCTCAAGATTTCTTTTACTGATAATGATGTTTTAGTTTAGAACTTTATTCAAATTACCTAATTTCTAATCAGGTTGGGGTTGGCTTTCTTTGATTATAGAATCATCAAAATTTTACAGAATGGAAAGAGGCCATTTGACCCACCATGTCTGTACCAGCTCCTGAAAGAGCTACCCAGCTAGTCTCACTCTCCAGCCCTGTTTCCATGGCTGTTCTGAAGAAAAATCAGAATTAACATTTCGGGTCCAGTGACCCTTCTTCAGAACTGGAAATGTTGCTGGACCCAAAACGTTAACTCTGATTTTTCTTCACCGATGCTGCTAGACCTGCTGAACGTTTCCAGCAACTTCTGTTTTTGTACAGAAAAGCCAAATGTTAGTGTAATGCACAATGTTGTCACTAGATGTCAGACAGACCATCATAGTTCTGGAGAAAGCAGTTTTGCTGCAAGGATGCGTGAACATCCTTAATGGTAAACATAACATTTGAAATAAATAATCAGGACCTCTGGGGTTAAAATTGCACCCCCACATTCAGATGTAAGCAACTCCTCACCTCACTTGACACTATCAACACAGCTATGACTCTAAAGTCATCATAGTCTTACTCTCTCAATGGAGAGAGACACAACTGGTGGTGAATTTAACCTGAGAGTCCCCACGCCTCAGTCGAGGGGAGAGGTTGAGAAGGAGGGACTGTTAGTATCACTCTAGCACAAGCCAGAAGTCCAGGCGACTGAGCTAATCTACCTTGCACATCCTGTGATGTGCA